TTTTGAATTTCAGTTCTGTTACCGCCCTCTTCACCGAATCAATCGAAAATCCGTTCAAGGAAAGGGAATCCAATTTGATTGCTCGCTGAAGAAATATATTAAAGGATTAGGTAATGGCTTAAATCTACTTTTGATTAGACTTTATAACCAGCTTTTTTGCTCTTTTGCCTATAGCCCAGACTTTTACCAATTGTAAAAGTCTGGGCTTTTGCCAATTGTAAAAGTCTGTAAAAGGTTTTAATAATTCTAAATTAAAAAATTAGTGTCTTCGTTAAGGCTGGTGCTGAATCACAGCTTCGTCGTTTGGGCATTTTGGAGCAGGATGCCATCAAGTTCAACGATGAGGTCAAGAGAATGAAAAAATTAGCGGAGAGGCTTGTTCAACAAGACTATCAGGATTCAACTCAGGTGAGCTTTTACTAACGTAAATAAATATTTTTTCATGTTTAGATCGATTCACGCCAGCATAAACTTGAAGCTGCTTATTCTCAGTTGTTGATTGAAATTTCGAGACGGATGACACAGCTTGGAGATGCGAGCCGGTATTATGGTTTGGATCCTCTAATTCGACTACTTTTAGATACCATGCCTATGTTCGTCAGGCAGATGATCTCATGGATTGGCTGCATGAGAAAGAACGCGCTGCTGCGGTTGAAGAATACGGACGTGATTTAGAAGAATGTGCGTATCAGATTTGAGCAGAAAACTTTCTTGTCTCAATACCAGCTCTCGAGAATTTGACTGGTATTTGATGGCTTATTAAAAACCTTTTCGAGTCGAGCAATTTGATAATCTTCATGAACAAAAGACTCTAATTCCAGAGAAATTCACCGATTTTAACGCATCAACTCCAATCCTTGACAAGGAACCAGTTATCCTCACCTATGCATCACCGAATCATTTCGATGAGTCAAAGAAGATGCTCATTGCGTGGAAAAAGGCGAAACTTGGGCGAAAAATCGTTTTCTATTCACTGCGATTAAGCGATAAGCAAGTAAAACTTGACAGTTTTTACTTTAAAAAATGTTTTCCTTGTTTTCAGAAACAAGAACTCCGTGCGATTTGTGATTTGGAGATTCGAGAGCTTGATTTTCGAGCGTATCCATCGCATATTTTTAATTTATTGAATTATGCTTTCAAAGTGGTGGCGATTGTGGTGAGTGAATCGAAGAAAGAATATAATAAAGTTGGTTAGAAATAAAGAAGTGAAGGAATTGGCAAGAGAACGTAGATTTCCGGGATTGAACCCTCGACCTTTCGCTCAGCAATTGCTCTAACCACTGAGCTATCCGGTGGCTTAACTTGCCAAGAGAAAGAAGGAAAGACAAGAGAAGAAAGAAAGAAGGAAAGAAAGAAAGAAAGAAAAGAATGTCACTGAACTAATAACCAAACATTTCTTTGTCATTGTTCAATTTGAAACCTGGTTTTTTAGATAGCTGTTAAAAGCTTTAATCAGACTTTAATAGCTAGAATTCTGAAATTTCTGTAAATTTAAATTTAATTCAGGATGCCTACTCAGATTTCGATTTCTTTCACGTAATGGACGCGAGCATACGACCGAACAATGTGACATTGTTGAGAGAATATTGGGATGATGTACGGAAAGGAAATGTGAGTCTGAAATCTATCAGTCAATCTCTATTTTGTACTCAAAAACAGAAACACATCCTTTCTAAGGTACTCAAATCATTCTTTTTCATTTCACTAGAGTATTTTTGTTTCGGTTAATTTCAGGTTCCAGGTTCTGTTCTGTTTACAGTGCGTGAAAAACTGCGTGAAAAGCTCTGTCCTCTCTCCAAGAATCATTTGTACTCGAATCAAGGAAATTAGAGAAAAACGGAGTTCAAATTTGAAATCTTTGACTATTTTTACTCTAGAAATGTTTCTTCAAAAGGTTTTTGTTTTGAAAATCAGTTTTTTTTTTTGCTGAATTGCTAGGCTTCTTTGATATTCTAACCCTTTTGAGTAAAAATTAAAAACAGTGCTTAAAAAATGGCGAGTTCTTAACTAATCTGACCGTAAAATGACTAGTTTTAAAGGAAAATCTTTCTTTTCTTCTCTAATATTTAAAAAGTTAGTTTTATTTCAGCTTTTTCACATTTAAAAATCAATTAATATTAGAGATTGCCGAAAAAAAACGTAAATGAGTTCCTGCAAGTAATCGAGCGAAAAACCGATCTTCGAAACAATAGATCTTTTTAATAAAAGAATTAAAACGATAAAAATAGTTAAAGATTTTAAATTTAATGTCCGTTTGTCTCTATTTTGTTTGATTCTTTCTCAAAAAATAACCATCTTTGGAGAAGGAGACAAAACTTTTCACGCACTCTGTACTGACTCAGGAATTAGTCAGTCATTTAAAACCCATTTTACAGCTATTTTTACAGCCAGTACAACCATTTCTTCTAGGTTCCTCCATTCAGCATGTCGGCTAGAAGAAACTTCACGACAATTCAATATTGGGCTTTGGATTTTGCTTTGGAAAAACTTTCAGCTAAAATGATTTCGCCTATCTACCTATTCTTGCCGATCGATGAGATCGGCAGATTCTTTTCAATTCGCCGGTGGAATTCTCGTCGTAAAGCGTGATAAATTCACGACAGAGTTGTTGAAATGGTCAGTTGTATTCGATGAATTGCTTTTTGAATAGCCCAATTTCACTGTATTCCAATTCCAATTTCCTTTGTGCTCTCACAGCCGACTGTATCAGCCCAATTGGCGCCTATTTGCATTGTGGAAAAGGGCATACACATTGCCATCGGTATTTATTGAAATATTGAATCTATTTCTTTTTTTTAGATATGGTCAAAGTGCTTTCAACGTCTTGTACTTCAACGCGGTCCAGGAGAATCAAGGAACAAGATGAGCTGATTTTTTTTTGATTTGGCGTTTTTTGATGTCACTATGTCTTTGAGAACAATTCTTGCCCTAAATTCGACTCTCTTTTTGACTCTATGCTACAAATTCTATATTCTGTTAAACTATTGTGCTTCGATAGTTAAACTAAACGATTTCTAGATCATTCGCCAATGGTCGTACACTGATTCGATCAAAGTGAAGCGCGGTGATGGGCACAAGGGACCACTTCCGAAAGATTTACTGTGTTTGAATGTAAATGATAGTACCAGTTCGAGTACAATTAAATACGAATAAACATTTATTCAACAATGAAATGAAAAAAAGCACCAAGAATATCTAGAGAAAGCAAAAAAAAGTACAGAATTTTAAAAAAACCGTAAAAACCCGTTCAAGCCATAAGTTAGATCAAAAATAGAGAAAAAAAGTGAAATCTTTGAATTCGAATAACCTAAAAACCTGTAGCACAAAATTGCTAACAATAAAAGAAAAAAAATCGAAATCTCATTCTCTTTTCACACTTTGATTCCTTTACATAAACAAATCCGCCTCAAATCTGCTCGTTTAACGTCGATACAATCGGATTGACCCGCGTATTTGTTTAAACGAAGAAAATCACCTTCGCGATGGAAAACGCCATTCGAATCTTTCTTTAGCAACTGAAAGAGAAAATTAAGCTTTTCTTTAACTTCTTTAGCTTCTTAGCTTCTTTAGCAAATTTTAGAGATATTTTTTTTTCATTTTGATCGAGTAAATATCGCATTTTTTTTGAGCAGCTTATTTATTAGGTTGGTTAATTGGAAATGACCCGAAAACTAGATCTCAAACAGCTATTTCCTCTAAAATCGTAAAAAATTTGAAAAGTTTGTTTGATAATGTTTAAAACGTATTGCAAAAACAAAAGCGTTCAAAGAAATGCTCAATCTTTGACGTTTTCTTGAAATGAAAAGCCAAAAACGAATGCCCTGCCAGCAGCTCCTCAATACCAACTTTGAGGCTCTATAAAAGAGAGACAGAAAAACGTTTTTTTGTCAAATCTAAGAATCCGTAGAAAAATATTAAAATTTTCTATTAAAGCAAAGCGTGAGATGATTGCAAATCTGAGTGCTCAGTTACACTACTTAAAATACGAAATCCGGGTAATAATTGAACGCCCTACAGATCCCAAACAGCTACTTCCTTTCCAGCTACTTCCTTTACAGCTATTTCCTTTAAAATCGTTCATACCACTAAAAAACTGATTTTCTTTTTACTAAATCTTGAGTTTAGCACCAGAACCGTAAAAATAATTGCTCCAGAAAGTGGTTATAAAAAATTTTCATCAAATAACAAAGCTATATCTCTTATTATCTCTAGATTTTTCTGAGTATGAAACTAAGATTTTCTTGCACATTCAATGTCTCATAGCCAACTGACCACTCGGAATTTCCCTTTGCTCTCCTTGACGATGAAATGAATCTCGTAAAGGTTCGTTTTCTCGACGGGTATGAAACTCTTGACGGATTTTATCTGAAGTTCATTTTTCGTTTAAATTTCTCCCTTAAATTTTCGAATCTACTGCATTTTCTCAGTCTTACCTTGTCCAACGTCAACGTTTCACACGATCCGCTCACTCCATTTTCTCTCAAATATCCATTCAACTTTTCCAGTGCCACTTTTGAGAGCTTTTCAATCAGCATTGCGTCACTAAATTTTGCAAACCTTTGTTGACAATGGTTTTTTTAAGCTTTAGAAAATTACTCACTCAATATTTTCTTTCTTGTATTCACACAAACAATAGGCTGCATTTACGGGAATCGTCTGGCACGTTCTTTTCTGGAATTTCTCGGGAAATGGCCGAAATATCGATGTGCCATTGTTTTCATTTCCCTCCATCACATCGAATTCGGAGAAATCAGTGAAGTTAGACTCGGGAGCGAACTAAAATCCATTTTGACATTTTGACAGCTAAAAAAGCCGAAAGAAAGGGCGCCTCTCCCTTGTCGCCGTAGCGCAATCAGGAGCGCGCTCTACAGCTCACACGAGTCGGGTTCGATCCCCCGTAGTGCCACTCAATCTTGACTTTTCTAGTTTTTTTTATTTTGAATACCATAACTACAATAGATTCAAATGTTTTCTAAAGAAATTTTAGCTTCAAATGTTCAACGAACCTTTAAAAGATCAACAAGAGTCGCATGAACGTCGAATTGTGTCAGTAAACGAATGGAGTTCTCTTGCAGATTCTTTATTAGCTAAATTTTCTTTTATAGTCTTTTCTTTTATAGTTACCAGCTTGTAAACTCACTTGTGTATGATTTCGCAGAAATTTTGGTAGAGAAATGTGCAAGAGTGGATTGTTGATCTCTCGTTTATTCAACTCGGCTTTTGATGGCTGAAATGGATTTGGTGAATCTTTAGCCTTTGCTTCAGCTTTTGAATCTTTCATGAATTCAGGAAAATCTTCATCGCTTCAAATTGAACTGACCGTCCCAAATCGTGGCCCGTGATCGCCCATCACAAAAAGAAAAGCATTGTCCAAAATGGCTTTATTCTTTTGAAAGAAATTCTGAAAACGAATTTAATGATGCAAAAGAGATATTGAATTAGAAAAAGGATTAATATAAACAACTTCTTGAATCAACTTTCCCACCAAGTAATCCTGATCGGTGTGATAGAGAGGATTGGGGAGATCATGAGACGCCTCACAACTCCAATGCAGCAAGAATTTTGGGATACCTGAAACATTACGTTTATGTCATTTCCACTTTCTTTACCATTGTATGCATTCAGGAAATTTGTTGATTGTTGCAATTGTCCAATGTGCATTTCAAAGCAATTCTTTGGACTCATAAAGTCCCGCAACTTGTTCTCATTGTGCCAAGCCCAAAGGTAGTCCCTGAATTGTCAGCCATTTCCTAGATAATCCAATGTATTCTATCAAAGCTCACCTCCATATATGATTTGCCTCTTGATTCCTGAAACCCTTGCAACTCCACGAGAAAGCCGTTCCCTGTTTATAGTCATCACTGTAGAATGTTTTGTACCCTGAAGGAGATTAACGTTTTCTAAAACAATTTCTCAGCTACTGTAGTTTTCTTTGGTTTTTATTCAACTTATTTACGTATTTCTTGGTATTTACTATTGGGTTGGTGAATTGAAAACTGCGGGCTATTGTCATATGTGACAGTTTGAGCACTTTCTTCAAAAGAAACCCATTTTGGTGTCAATGGAAAAGTTGTAGAGAACCAAAAATGAAGCTTGTATCGAGATTTTCAGAACGATTCAAAAACTGGTTTTCAAGAGATGCGAAATCTACGAATTTTCACAAAACTTGCATTTTAAGCGAGACTACTAAGTGTATCTTTTTCGAAATTTGGCTATAAGCCTAATTTTTGATTCTCTACAACTTTTCTATTGACACCAAAATGGGTTTCTTCTGAAGAAAGTGCTCAAACTGGGACATCTCCAGGACATCTCCAGTCCTCCATTTTTGAGTCTCACACTCGTCTCACACAAAAACCAAAATCCTACTAAGAAAGAGGAAGCCGCAAATTGCCTGTAAAATGGGCAGAAGTCGTCAGTAATAATGGAAATTATTCCGGATGAATTTATGCTTTTATGTTCAATAAATTTTAGTTCAAAGTCCCGCAGTTTTCAATTCACCAATCCAATACATAAAAGAGCTGTACAGGCATTTTCTCAGCCTTCTAAAGAAGCTAAAATTTCTTTAGAAAACCTAAGAATGGTATTTATCGTAGTTGAGTTTTTAAAAATATTTTTAAAAAATCAATGCTGGATAAAAGACCCGGAAGCCAAACCCGGAACGTGGGAGCTGTAGAGAAGCGCGCTCCCCGCTGCACCACGATGACAAGACATCTAGCAAGTAAAACCCGCCTTTATAAACCTTTATGAACCGTCTCTCTATCCCTGTACCTTTAACCTTCTCTTTACCTTTAAATTGAAACTTCAACTTTTATACATGTAATTGTTGAGAAAAGATTAGAATAGTTTTGAAAATGAACATATTTTACAAAGCATTCAAGATAGAAAGCCCAATTTGTACATAGCCTCACCGATTTTCTCGTATTCTCGAAATATGACCGGATCTTTGTCCCTCCATCCCGAGCAAATCTTATCGTGATCCGGCCTGAGATCTTTCGCGTTCACCGCTTTTCGATTCGCCGAATAGATTCGCCAGCCTGAATACTTCTTGTCGGCTACAATTCCACCAAGATACTCAACACGTAAACTTGCCTTACCTAACAACATCGCATAAGCATTCGGGCTTGTGTTCTCGCCGACTTTATTCAAATGATGAAAGTGCATTCCGCCCATTTGTGTCTCCAAATAACTCAATGTTCGCGGTAATGAGCTAAATGATTCTAAATTTTCTAATTCAGATTTTAACCCAACCGTCTGGCTTGTGTCGAAGAAACCGAATCGAGAACGATCATCACGATATCGGGACGGAAATTTGTCCCGTTTCCAAGTGATTTGTCCACCTCAACAGTGCTGAAAAGTTAATTGAATTCGGTAAATGAGTTGTTTACACTAGACATGAGAAAATTCCGAGCCGAACCTAATTCCACCTTCATTTTCTCAGCCGTCTTTTGGTCGATTGTTCTGAAATTTTGTTTATCAATAGACATTGACATTCTCTGCTTGTGAACGAAATTTCAGAGCAATCGGTCAAGAGATGGCTGAGAAAACGAAGGTGGAATTAGGTTTGGCTCGGAATTCTCCCATGTCTAGTTTGCACTACATCAAGCTCTTAAACAAAGTTATTTCAAAGGTAGCTTTCCGGATCAATTCAGGCTAGGCAAGGTCAGAACTAGACCAAACAGTCAGTCCTTGGCCTGAACCCAGTTAGCTGTAGGACTGACCGAAGGACTGACCGAAGGACTGACCGAAGGACTGACCGAAGGACTGACCGAAGGACTGACCGAAGGACTGACCGAAGGACTGACCGAAGGACTGACCGAAGGACTGACCGAAGGACTGACCGAAGGACTGACCGAAGGATTGACCGAAGGACTGACCGAAGGATTGACCGAACGGCTGACCGAAGGACTGACCGAAGGACTAAAGACTAGGTCTAAGATCTGCCTTTTGTTCAACACTGGCCTAGACTGGCTTTGTTGGAAAATGACGACCAGATTGAGGTTTTGTAAACTTTAGAAACTCCACCTTGGATTCCCTTCATAAATCTGTGTATGCAGCCATTGATCGACGATTTTTCCATCCTTCGAATAACACTCAGTTTTCACGATATCCTGATCGATTTGCATCTTCTCGACAAGGTTAAACCATGAACGAGGTCGCGATTTTTCCGGATTAATGTATTCATAGGTTCTGAAAATTGAGTAATTCGATGAAATGAAATCATAGTTGTGTGCTATTTTGCTATGCAAACCTTGCTCTACAATAATCGACTTGACTTTTCCTCTTCGGATCGATTGAAAGCCATCCGTCTTTGAGAATTGTGTATGGTGTGTGATTTCGATTGCAATTCGCCATCGGATTGTCCCAACTGAATGAGTAAGAAATTTGGGCATTTAGAAAGAATTTAGGCAATTAAGCAGAAGCATCATCCATGTCCATTAGTGGTTTTCAAGTTGAATTGAAGCCACCGACTTTGAAACTTTTCTCTTTGAAGTATTTTTTGTTTTTTATAAATTGAAAACGCACTATTTCTAGTGCTCTGTAATCGTTATTTTCTCAAGAAAGGGAAGTCTTTTAAGAATTACAATACAACAGAAAGAAGTCATCGAGCATTGAAGCAGCTAACTCTAAAACTAAGTACTTAACTTAACTTCTGAATTTTCTTTGAAAAATAAAAAACTGGATGGGCCATTTTTCAAAAATTATATTGCTTTAAAGGTATTGTAATGGGCGAACTTTAAACTTTTGTTTTAAAGTAAACGAGAAAAATTATTTATCGAATGAATCGGTTAGACTGGAGCCTAGTAACTTAGAGAGACTTTGGACTTTTAAGCCAAACGCATTAAGCTTCATTTAGCTGCAAAACAGAATGCTTGGTTTTAGTTTTAAAGTTAGCTGCTTCAATGCACGATGACAAAAGAGAGTGCTTGGCTTCGAGAGTGCAAAAGAGAAAACGTAAGTTGAGTGAAATTCGGAGATAAGAGTATGTACACTACTGGACAATGAAATATCATATTTGAAAAAACGATCGTCACTTTCGCGCGTCTGTAACTCCATTGTCTTTGAGTTTAAACTATTAGTGTTATACATTTTCTGAAAGCTCTTTTCAAGGGCTACACAATCGTAATATTAATATTTAGAATAACGGTAAAGACAATGGAGTTACAGACGCGCGAAAGTGACGATCGTTTTTTTTTAAATATGATATTGCATTGTCCAGTACTGTAATAATACTTTTTAAATGTTTAAAATGATCAAAATGATTAAAATGATTTTAAAAATGCACTCACTCGACAGTCATCCCCATATCTTTATAGTATGGATCATAGATCGTTAGATTACAAGTATCAAAAATATCGATAGTCTCGAGCGAAAGGCTGGTCGAATTGAAATCGAATGGAGAATATCGCTCGCCGATCGTCTCAATTTGTGCCAATATCGTGGCCGTGCTCGGCAATTGATTGAATATCCTTTCATCAATTATTATGTACAATGTGAGGCCGATTGAGATTAAAATCCAAAAATTCCCGGGTAAATGCATCGATCGAGAATCAAATTTCAGCTGAAATTTCATCTTTTTTGAATAATTCTTGAAATTCGTTTAACAAATATTTAAAGAAAACATTTCAAAAATCTCTGAAAAACTTATTGTCTACATTGGAATTGAAGAAAATAGATGAACAATTCTTTAAAATTTTCAACTTTAAACTAGACTTCGGCAAACAAAACCAAAACCAAAACAGACCAAAACCAAAACAAACCAAAACAAACCAAAACAAACCAAAACTCAATTTGCATATAAATTAACATGTAAATTTAAAATTGTAAAATGCAAATTTTAATGTAAAATGCAAATTTGCCTTTCACTTTTTCTCACTCCACAAAATCTCGCGGCCGAAAAAAGGACCAAAACACGACCTCGAAATTTCGAACCAAAATTAGCCTATGGGATAGATTTTTGGACGCTGATTTCAAATCTGCAAACAGATTTTCGCTAGCTCCTCCCAGTCGCGAGATATTGGCGAGTTTTGGTTAGTTTTGGTTTTGGTTTGTTTTGGTTTTGGTTTTGTTATGGTTTTGGTTTTGGTAGTTTTGGTTTTGGTTAAGTTTTGTTTTCCGAAGTCAACTTTAAACATCGTTACCTGGGCACAGAATTTTTTTTTGATTATTCTTTTAATCTTCTTAATCATTTTTAACCTTCTTAATCATTTTTTATCAATTAATCATTATTAAACTTTTTATAAATCCTTAACAATCCTTAAAAAAAAGCTTTCTTTCAAATTTTTCAATTTTTCAATGAATATCTGCAAAAATCGGGCTTTTTAAGTGATTCAGGAAGAAATTGCTCAAATAAAATGTTCCAGAATTGAAACAAAAAGAATGAGGAAAAGAGTTGCCTTATTGCTAAACAAAGAAAGTTTCCATAATAAATCAATATGGAATTGGAGAATGACAAACGATTGAATAGAGATAAAATCGTAAATAATGTTTCAAGTTTTCGTTTAGTTCTCGAATGAATTTAGAATCAGAATTCTGTCCTTTAAAAGATCGAATTAATTCTCGACTAATAGCCAAGAAAACGGGAGTGGGACAAATGCGACCTTTTTTTTGCGCACCCGGACATTTGCGCACCTTTTTTTCCGCATCTTGCCCATTAGCGCACCTTTTTTCGCGTTTTAAAAAAGCACTAAAAAGCTAATATTAACCAATTTCTATTCCAAAAGTTGTTTTTCTAGGTAATTTGAGGGTGTCGAATTCAAATTTTGACATAACAGAGCGTGTGGAACCAATTGAAAGACATTGAAATTGAAAGACAAAACGGCTAGATCAAATTACAGAAAATTGTCGATTTTTCTCTTTGTATAACTTCCGTCCGTTCGCTTCCACAAGCTCTGATATGTCAAAATTTCGATTCTACGCCCTAAAATTACCTAGAAAAACAACTTTTGGAATAGAAATTCGTTAATATTAGCTTTTTAGAGCTTTTTTAAAACGCGAAAAAAGGTGCGCTAATGGGCAAGATGCGGAAAAAAAGGTGCGCAAATGTCCGGGTGCGCAAAAAAAGGTCGCATTTGTCCCACTTCCAAGAAAACAGAAAAGAAACTTTGAAAAGCACACAAAAAAATCCCAGATAAAGCGATGAAAAAACATTTTTTCAAATTCTTAATCGAGTTTAAAAAGAGCAAACTTTTCTACACATTTGTCAAGTGCTTTTTTTTTGAATCTTCTCAAAAAAAAAAGCCTACAATGCTAAAAACTAGAGTGTGCTCCTACTCCTAAAAACTAGAGTGCAATGCGTTTTTTAAATTCATGTGTAATAAGGCCTCCATAAGTGCAAACCGTATCCTCAGATTTATTACCATACCTAACATCAAAACTTCTTGGATGTGTTTTGTTGCTTATGTCCGCCCTATTCTTGAATACGCTTCTTTGATTGGGTCTCCTTCCCTATTAAATCTTATTCAAAAATAGAACGTGTACAGAGGCACTTCACCAGAAAAAAACTTTTGCGACTACGCGACTGTGCGAGGGGGTTAGGGTATTATTACAGTATTTGCGGTAGGTGGATTTAGGGAAGGTAATGAACTGTAAACCAAATTTAATGGGGATTCTTTCACAACTAACCCGAAGTCGATCCGATCACTGGGAGTCGAGTTATAGAGTAAATTAGAAAAGTTCCCCAAACTCCGAGACTCGTAGCGGAATTCGGAAGTTCAACTTTGACACAAATTTTCTCTATGTTCTTATACATGAAAACTTTTAGGACAAATATAAACCTCACAAGGAAGATCAATAGAGATGGAAAAGCTCAGAGAAAAGATTTCATAGATTATCTCTTTCCTTTTCCACTTCTTTTTCCTTTTATTTCCAAAGAAAAGCATATTCTTTGAAATTTTAATGCCTTTTCGTCAGCTTCCTTCTTTTCTCAAAAAAAAAACTTTTCAATGATATTTTTGAAAAGCATTTCATAGCAACCTTGTTCTTTGTGTTTCTTACAGAAAATCGATCAAAAAAAAACTCATCCTTGCTATTTTTAGAGTGATCGGGGAAAATCAAAAGCCAGTACGCTAGATATTGAGCGTTTTTCAGAGCAGAAAGTACAGATAAAGTCGGTTTATTTGTTCAAAAAATGACCTCTCTAAATTTGGTTCCCTATCTCGCTAATTTCGGTTCCCTATCTCAACAAGTTTCTTACAGAAAATCGATCAAAAAAAACTCATCCTTACTATTTTTGGAGTGATCGGGGAAAATCAAAAGCCAGTATAGCCAGCAAGCCAGCTAGATATTGAGCGTTTTTCAGAGCACAACAGACAACAGACAAAGTCGGTTTATTTGTTCAAAAAATGACCTTTCAGATGATGTTAAATGCTATTTTTAAGCAATGTTTTTATCTATAAACTTTTAAATATATAAATCTAGAACAAGAATCCGAAATGAATAGTTTCAAAGTTTCAAAGTGAACACGTTATGTTGAATCAATTAGTGTTAATCAATTATGTTAATCAATTATCAATTAATCAAACGTAAACTTCATCAATTAGTTTGAAATAAAAGTATTGATCGTTTCCAATCGATCATTCAACGTTTTCTCGTCGAAACTCGAGAGATGAGTGAGGAGATTTCCTGAAAAATTGAAGAGAGATTGGAAAGTTTTATTGGTTTTAAAGTTAAGAGCAATTTCGAAGTTTTATTGATTCTAAACTTAAGATCAAGTCCCAAATTAGTTTTATTGATTTAAAACTCACTGATTGTCTCTTGAACTCGCGGATTCTCGGCCAGCGTCGACATGTTTTTCGTTTCATTCGATTCAGTCACTTCGGAATCTGAATGTTTCAAAGAGTTCAGGATTCAGGCTTAAGGTTCAGCCTCTCTAACATCCAACAGATAAGTAATTTTAGCTAAAATTACTTATCTGTTGCTTATCTAGTGGTGAATAGAAAAGGATTACGGTAGAAAGTACGCGAAATACTGCACGAAGTACTGCCGCAACTAGTTGATTTGCTTGCTCTTAGGGGCCAAATTCATCAGAAAAGATGGACAACAGTGATCCGAAATGGACAGTGATGGACAACAGTGATAAACTACGCGCACTAGGTTCCTCGGCTCACCCGTATTTTCTATTTGG